TGTAAATATCTTCAGTTGTACGCGTCGAATATCATTCATTCATTCATTTATTTGGTAAGATTGTTTCAATAATACTGGTTGAATTTCATCGTGTTAGAATTGATAGGAGTGGTTTCTATTTTGCTACTATAAGCGTACTATTGGCAGAGGACTAGAAACTAAACCAATTTGTCACTACAGTGTTGTTTAGCTGTCACCAGCTTAAGTGCCAATGAAATACAATGGATTTAATATACGCCTTTTTCTGAATAGTCTAGAAAATTATTGACTATTGAATTTTCATCAAACGTTTTATGAGCTATATGATTATCATCATTGTTGAGTATTGTCAAATTAGCTTGTTTGATAAGAATCACGGGACTTACTGATAATTGTCTTCTCCTTTTACTCGGTGAACCTCGGATAATCATCGGTTTATGATAAAACAATATTTCAAAATGGATAAAGTAATATGGGTATAAAAACTAAAATTCAACGCTCCTCATTTTCAAAAAGTTCAGTTATCTGAAAATTAGATAGTGTTGAGACTGATAATTCACCTTTTGAAATGATAAAAATCAGATTTTGACGATGATATCTTTTAAGTAAATAAGAGTATTCCATATGGAGTCTCTTCATCTACCCTTTGGAACAATCTAACACTACCATTTTCTACATATATCCTTAATGTTTTTGTCAAGTAGGCAAAGCATTAAAGTAGAATTCAAAAATTTTCACGTACTTAATGCATATTTCTATTGCCAGTCATGAAAGTATTCATACACTGAAAATCCTTTATATTTCGATGCATGTATTATCATCTTGATGACTAGTAGCGGAATCCAGGATGGGCGTTTCGCTGTATTTGGGGCTCATCAGCTGGATGTATATATACCTCAATAAGTGGCTAAACGTACGTCTTGGATTTCACTACAAGTCATCAGATGGATGCAACATCATGGATATATGGCAGTGTCGAGGAATCTACTTAGCAGCTCATCTGCTAACAGAGGTCAAGCAATTCGACCATGTGAAGCAACGGGAAATTATAAGTATCAATTAACAAAGACTCTGTCCATAGCAGCTTGTTAATTTTAACAATGAACTTATGACATTTTTTAAGTTAGTGAATTGTTTTCAAGTAACATATAAGGTGTAGCACAACTTTTGTTTTAAAGTCTCTAGAAATAAAGTTTACTCCGCTTTTTCTTTTTGGAATTTGCATTTTGCTGTTGTCTTAATCCAGTAAAACATTGAAATGAAGAGATTCATTGTGACTTGACGCTTCCTTTCAAACGACACCTTAGCATAGGCTGACTTACTGATGTCAACAAACTACGTAATATTATAGCTGGAAAAGAGTATTCACAAGAAAGATTTAAAGATGAAGCGAAATGTTTCGTTCATTTCAAAGGTTTACAAGAAATTGATTTGAATGCAGTTTCTAATCCATTAGAGAAACAATCAAGAGGTTTCAGCAACTAACTCCGGGGTAGACATCTCAAGGTTCTGCAGAGCTGTAAGTTGTGAAGTTGAACAAGTCAGAAATAGGGAAGAATGTTCGCTTATGCCATTGAATTTCGGTTCAAATATTTTGTCAGTTACAGCTAGGAAGATATCAGTCACTAAATCTTACAACGTCTTTGAAAAGTATTTCACTACTTACGAAACTAAAAGATCCATTTCTGAAACTCAGACGAAGTACTCGGTGTAAACACCTCGAGATTCAAATTTATCCTTAACTTATGGTGATCCTCTGGTTCATTTTACTGAGTAGTGATCAGATCTGAAAATCATACTTATACTAACTATAGGAAGGTAAAAGGTCGTATACGTTCATTTGTCAAAATTATTAGAACTATGGTTACACTGCTGAATAAGCATTTTTGTGCTAAAAGCCAGCTGTACTCACATACATCAGTATCTGTTTTCCATGTTGAAATTACTGGAGCTTGTTTAAAAGATGATAAGTAGGTGGTTTTCCAGATTTTTTAGTGCAAGGAATTACACCACTTAGAGGATGGGCTAAAAAAAATATAAGCTGTTATCGCAAGTTTTTGAAAGTATATCATCTAATCCAGTAGTTGAACATTGTTCCCTCAACATTTGTGGTACCGTTGATCTAGCTTGAATGGTTTCAAATAAACATGTTGAAATCACTCCAGAAACCATCTTCAACCAAGTTTGATAAATAAACATGCAAATTCTACTCAGAAATCAGAATTCAAGATAAAGATTCATATAAACTTTAGTTAACATCTGACTGCATATTTTCAGGAGTATTTGAATACTGAGTAAGCAGCAAACATGCGTTATAAAGCATATTTGTATAAATCTCAGGGTATTTGAAACAAAGTAATACTTGCCGTAAGCTATATCATTCGGGCATTGTGGGCAAATGTAATTCTTAATGGGAACAACACTGCTGACCTGGAGGTAGATAAATTCAACTGATGAGTCCTCGATAGGAGGAAACGTGACCCTCGTGGATTCCACTGCTAGCCACTATCCGCCATTAGCTCTGTATATTAGATTAGTTTACTCGATTTCTGACTGGCAGCAAGATGTGCCATACATCTGGAATGAGTGTTTAATCGTTGTTATCAAATGTGTTATGAGTGGGATCGATGAGCAGTGATTCAGTGATCAATTTTTTTCTGAACTGGACTAAATCGGTCTTCAGGAGTGCTATTTTGATTTAATTTTGAGAAGAATTTAGCCATACTTATGGATACGATAGCACACAACCACATATTAGGATAGGACATAGCAACAGTCCTAAGGTAGTTTAGTTGAGACAGGTAGGTTAGTCACTGAATCAGTCTTCGTCGATACAATGTCTAACATATATGGTGGGAGTGTTTCAACACCAGTTCCAGACATACGGGAAGTCTTACTACCTGTCGAATCAAAGAGTGGAGAAGCAGTAGAACGATCAAAGACTAAGACAGAAAGTGATATAACATGAACAATAAATTGTATTGAAAGCATCACTTAGTAAACAATACTATGTCAGTATGTGCTGAATCAAAGGGGGGTAATCTAATATAAAATGACCCTGATGTTTTGTTCAGTGGTCTAGTTATGGACTTATACACATATTTAACAATACCGAAACCTGGTTCGCCTCCAGAAACTCTTCTAGTGCTGCTGCAACATCCTAAAGACCACAGTAGTTTATTGGTTGGTAGTATATGTTAATGTTACTTTACGGCAGCACAGTTCAGATCTTGATGAGGCAACAACGAAATGTTGAACTGAGATAAATATTATCAGTCTAATGGATATTCATGAACATTCCAACATTTATTTTTCGGTGCTCTTATCAATCAGTACATAGATACAGTCTACAGCACACAATGAAATATCTGATATTTTCATTTTAATTCCAAACTAGAAAAATCCACAATTTATCCAAGTTTCCACTGCCATTCTTTTTCGGCAACTCTACCATAGGAGTGAGTTTCATGTCCTAGTGGTGGTGTTGTGGATAACGTCTAGGCGTTTGAAGCTGTGGGTAATGGGTTCGGGTCTCAGAGAAACAACACCTACTGGGATTCAGGTACATCCAGAAAGAAACGCGTGTCTTGGATTCCGCTGCTAGCCACCAAGCAGATTATAAAACTCTGCATGTCACACTGAGAAGCAGTACTTGTAGTGAAATGCAAGCTTCATGATTTTCTCAAGCTCTGGAGGGCTTTATTATAAGACGGCAGTCAATGATAAATAGATATGGTGTATATACACATGGTTTCGTCTTGAGAATGGACGATAGCGCTAAATTCACATATAAATACTATCTGCTGCTGTGATTAATGTTGGTAGTTGGTTAAAGGATGCTACTAGTTAAGTTTCATTGTAAGGTGACCATGTAGGTGAAGTCGAAAAAGTGATAACAAAGTGCGAAATTGGTGAAAAGTTGTGATAATGGGTAGTGACTAGCAGTGGAATCCAGGATACGCACTTCGTCCTACTTAGGACTCATCAGCTGGATGCGACGGCCTCACAGAGAGTTATGCTATTCCTACTGGGATTCGAACTGGAGGGCGGTCGCTTCAATTGCACCACCGAGCCATGATAGCCATTTTTGTGAGATAGGTATAGTTTTAGTGTTATTGCGTGCATTATATCGTCTTTGATTGGACCGAATTGATCAGTCTGTGTTGGCATATGGGCTCCTGTGCGGATGCTTGGATATTGTCTGTATTCTTAACTATATAGTAATGATGGATAGTGGCTAGCAGTGGAATCCAGGATGCACATTTCGTCCTATTTAAGACTCGTCAGCTTGATGTACCTGTAGTCAAAAGTAATTTCATTTCTTATATACTACAGCAATTATAACTATTCTATTAGAATTTTTAAATCTAATGGCTTTCGGTAGGAGTGTGAACACAGACGTTATCATGTTAGCAGTATTGTGACTCGAATTAAGAATTTCTGAGAGAGATTTATTCTGACTATCGATAGACCTCACAGTGCTGATATTTCAGCTTAAAATATGAAAATGGTATAATACTGAAACAGACAGGATGAAATACGTACACTATCAAGAACGGTTCATTAATAAACAATGATCTCACTTTGGTAAACAGTATATACAAAATAGAGAGAAGACAAAGCTAAACTTTTAGTCACAAAAATCGTAGGGTGGGCAATTTTTTTCCTGCTCAGAACTAACACCTGTAGAAGTAATATCCAGGCTGACATTTGCCCAGTTCCGTGTAGACCATTTTTTCTCTTAAACTCTGAGTGTACTTGGTTTATTGATCCGTTTGTAATGAGACTACATTTTTTCTGTTAACCGTCTGGCGAGATAAACAGGTGGTCATCTTAGGTGAATGATGCATAACAGTGACTGACCCTAATAAACTGGTTAACGTAAATATGAAAGCATTTTGTTACTTTAATGAAAAGTTATTTTCTGCCGTACTCACAAAACAAATGATTAAAGTAGACTTTTCTTTTCTTTTCATACTCCTTACATATGAATTTGTTCGATGAAATATTAACTTAACAAGTTCCTCAATGTGCTGGATGTAAACAGTTGGTTATGGATCGAACTATCCTACGAGTTCTTAATCAAAGTTGGCATGTGAATTGTTTGAAATGTATGGATTGTGGTACATCCTTATCTGAAAAGTGTTTTGTACGCACTGATGAGTTATACTGCAAGGAAGACTTTTTTCGGTAAGTTATATAGTATCAAATATGACACTCGAATATTCTCCCTTATCAAAAACGTAGTAAGTTATAAAGTTTGGAGATTAAGATTAAAATGTTGAATATCTAAGTGTAGAATATGCATACAGAAGAAAACAGTCGTGAAAAAAACACTCAGTAAACAAACACTAACAATGTTTACATCCATCAGATATTATTTTTCGCGATACTAAAGAGTTCGTACATAGTAATATAGTTCGAGGTTTATAGGGATTCAATTTGCTACTGACTGAAATCAGTTAGAAAACCATCGATAACTTTAGAGCACTGGATAGCTGTTTAATCCTAGCAAGGAACGCCTCGGCGATACGCACTCATGACCTAATCAAGGATCAAACTCAATGACTTCAAGGTTTCACAGCGAACGCATTGACCACTCAACCTTTGGGTCTCAGTTCAATGGTCGATAGTTCCTTGCTTCTGTCAGTTCGCGATATGGCATAACTATCCATCAAGTTCTATAGTTGGCATCTGCTGTGCTTCCCCGCTGGTCACTGCTTCTCATTAAGCTTCGGGGTATCCATCTCAAAGCATGCCACTGATCACCACTATCCACTAATGGAGCTTGCTAGGGGTGTAAAGATTAAGAGAAGAGCCTAACGTTTTCAATGTTATAAATGCAAGTAAGGAAAGAGTAGAGGTTTTCTGATTTTTGGTGTCTAGTACGAAATATTTATCAACAAGCGCATAGTTTCTATAGTACTCATCTGTGTCACTATAGTTTTGCAATGACAGACCAGTAAGAGATCAAATAGAATAAAATAAAGTCATTTTTAAGGAATTAGAGCAGTAAAGAAGGATACATCAACTGAATAATATTGAAACTGGCCTTCATTGTTTGTTGCTAAGATCAGAATTTTCTAATTACCAAATGTGCTTCGTTTGTCACCAGCCATTTATTTGAAGTTATAGAATTCTTATTGTGTTATGATGTCTGCGAACTAATAAGTTGTACTGAGTCAAATAGAATAACAATGATCTTTACTGTGAAAAGTGAATCTCAGGAGTTCAACAAACCACGGATCCATCACTCAAATTAGCTCACTTGCCATGTAGATGCGGTAGAAATTGAAATGAGATAAAGCAACCTATTATGTTGATTATATTTCACTCTGTTTTAAATGAGAATCTTATAGGATACTTAGTCAAGTTATGATTGAGGAGAAACTAGTAACATATGAATCTATAAAATTTTACAAACAGAAACAAGACTGATGTATTATTATTATTTGTCCCTTCGGTTCCTAGTGGAACATACGACTTCAGTACCGCGTCACCATTTCACTATCTTCTCTACAGTCTTCTTAACCTGACTTCACGACTGCCCAGAAACTTTCATTTCTTCCTAACACGATCTCCTCCATATCACCGTCGGACGTCCAACTCATCGTTTCCCACTCGACTTCCACTCTAGAACCTGGCTCATAATGTCACTCAAAACGGTCTTCTCAGTGTATGTCCAATCCAATCCAATCCATCTCCACTTTCTTCTGCATATTTGTTGGGCGATGTGCTGTTGGTTGGTTCGTTGCCAACCAGAGTTCCTTGTTGCTTATTCTTACTGTTCTGGCCATCCGGTCTTCAGTGGAGAGTGAGTATAGACGGCAGCTATTCACGTATGTCTGTAGTTTGTTGAAAATGCTTTTCGTAACACACCAAGTCTCTCAATAATCACATAGAAGCACTGACTTACTTGACTGACATAAGTGTTGAAAATCCGGATGTTGTTCATGCTTTATGCTGAGTCTGGTGCAGTGCAGTAGATCTTCACACTGGTTTCAGATTGATGCAGGGAGGCCTGTCTTGCGGTCTTCCCGACCCTGACTTTGACATCTTCATCTGTGCCACGTGTAGTTGAAACGATGCTATCTAGACAGGTGGGTGAAACAGACCCCTTCCTTTAGATTTCTCCTGTTCATGGTGATTGGTGCTTGTTGTTATTATTGGTTGGGTATCCTCATCACCTCTGTCTCTGTCTTCTCTACGTTCACGTGAGGGGAGTCTCTTCTTCCTTCTCTGCCTCATCTCTTCTCCCAACTTGCTGCTTTCACCTGTAGATCTTCGAGTTTGTGCGACAAGACATCAGACATAAATCATCATCCTTGGCGAAATCAAAAGCTTCTAGGGTCTTTTCATTGGTCTTCTCAAACAGAGTATGCACATCTTCTCACAGCTACTCACAGTTCCTTGCATGATCTGGTCGAGTCCAGTCGACCACAATCAGGACGATGATTGATGATAGCAGGCAGCAACCTCGTCTTACTCCTGTCTTCACTTCGAAGGCATCACTGAGCTGAGCTTTGCATTGTGAATCACTTGGCATGTAGCATCAAACAGCATAGGGTATAGGTGCTGTTGAACGAGGTTGATAAGGGTTTGTGACACTGAAACCGTAGTGTTGAAGCAGCATCTACCTGCTGAATTACTTGTCGGTCGACGCTGTCAAGGGTCTTAATCGAAGTGGATGAATTTGAGGTAAAGATCCGGTTGACTGTCATTCTATGTTCTGTTCTATGATAATGCGTAGTGTAGCGTTGTAATTTGACCCACACATGATTTGTTTTTCTTGAATCCGGCCAGCCATCTTGTTTTGGTCGTAATTTTGAATCCAGATCATTGTTAGTCTCTACAGAATTGTGCGGCATAATATTTTGCTTGGTTTGGATAGGTATGGAGCATGATTCCATACCAGTTCATGCAAAGACTTAGGTCTGACTTGTTTGGGAGTTTGACAAGGTATCCTCTCTTCTACTCGTCCGGTTGACAATATCGGAGTAGATTATCGACTCTCCAGTTAACTGTTTGAAGAGTCCACTTCCATTCCATCTACAGATTCCTCGCAGATTCCTAGCTTATCACTTCTTTGTCATACCTTCTCATCTATTTGGTAATGTGGGCACCGTTGCTAGGTTCATACATGGTGTGGACATTCCATGTCCCCATTCTTACTTTCACCTTGATGGAGGGCGAGAAGGCAGATTGGCCTATTGGCTTCCCGAAGGCTTTCACTAACCGGCGTCATTTCGTCTCTCGGATTCCAGCGAAGAATAAGGTTCATTTTATTTATGCTTCGTAATTTCTTTAGTGACTGGATTGGTTTGGTTGCTAGCCGTATGCCCAATCTTCCCTCTTTATCTGGACTTAGAACCGGCTAGTAACTAGTAAACTAGTTATCTAGGCGACTGATGTATATGAGAGTATGACGGTAAAATCTGACATGTGTATTGGCAAGTGGGATGTTAAACCTAGTAGTTAATACTGTGAATGAAAGCTAAAGATGATTTGAACTGTTTCTATCAAAACAGGTGTTGATCACAGAGACTCAGTAACAATACAAATAAGTAGGAGTGGAAAGTGATAAAGCTGTTTATTACGTGTTCAGTTGCCAAGGCAGAGATAAAAGATGTACAAAATCCTTCTGAATGCAAAGATTAAGATTAGTAGCTCGAATTCCCGTAGTTTCTGCTATGAGTAAAAGCGAGGGGAAACAAACCTGGAATTATTGTCATACAATAGAAACCGTTATTCATGAAATTACAATTTGATAGCTATGTAACCAGAGAAGTTTCATATCAGAGACTTTAGAACCATTAGGAGGATTTTTTACACCCCATAACTATGTCTTTCGTTGTCCAGCCAACCGGTTGTTTTTGCTCAGCCGAAAGATAAGTTATCTAGTTTTGTTATTTCCATGGTTGGGAAAGGAACAGATAAAATTCACCAGGAGTTCTGTTTTATGTCATCTCGTTGATAGTGGTCACTTGGTAGATAAGAACGATGCTTTCATGATTACTCACCGTATACGACCTCATCTTTTGAAAGATATTCGAATCCGTATTTCACTGATAGCAGAAACTTTGGGAATTCGAGTTACGAATCCCAGTCTTCTTATCCAGAAAAGGTTTGTACATCTCTTACCTCTTACTTGGTTAGAGAATAATAAAATACATTACTGTATAGTGCTCATTAGTGATATGGTTCCAGATGAATATCATGAAGTTCTGGTGAGAAGCCGTGACCTGTGAGGTCAAACGGTTGGAAGGGAAGCGAATGTCAACTGAAGACCTTGGGTGATAGTCACTCTGTGAACCACTGAACTTGGACTCAGTGACTGAGTGCTTAGCACATTCTCTGTGAAACCTGAAGGTTCCCAATTGGACCCCTGGTGAGGTTGTGCGTACTTACCACTGGTGAGTCCGATAGCAGGACGAAACGGCTGTCCATTGCTCCCAAATTTTCAGTGGTTCTCAAACTGATGTCAGTCAATGATGAATACTACCTCAAAATAAATAGTTTCTCAGTTTTTCCTACCCCTTTCTCATTCTTCACCCGTTTCATATACTCACTATATTTGTTTAGACTTGGTTATCAATTTACTTCGTCGTTCAGTACTATGTAGTTTACTTTTTCCAAGCCCCTGACCTACTTTGATTATCGAAGTATTTACATCTTCATGCTGCTTTCTTGTCTCTTATAATCGTTATTATCTGTTACAACTGTTTTAGCCAACATTACTATTTATTGGAATACTTGAAATTCTCCGTTGTTTTATTGGTTCGAATTGTTCGACCTCAAACAGCATATGGGATACTATACGGACGCCCGATATTGCCTTAACATTCATTATGATAACTTACTTCAGTGTGGCTTGCAGAGGAATCCAAGATTTGCGTTTTGTCCTGTTTGGAACTCGTCGGCTGGGTGTGTATGCATCCCAGTGAGCGGTGTTGTCCCCACTGATACTCGAACTTCGTGTCCATCTCTTCAAATGCTAGCGTGTCATCTATTATGCTACTGAAGCATGATAGCCACCTGATGTAAAACGGGTATTAGTTATTACTATTTGTTGATATACTCGTAATTCTCCGTTGTTTTACTGGATGTTCGAGTCTTAGTGGGAACAACACTCACTGGGGTGCAGATAAATCCACCTGACGAGTCCCAAATAAAACGAAACATGTATCCTG